GTCCAGTGGTCAGTTTCTGTCAATGGATAATAAAGTACCAATAAAGAAGAATATTTGAAGGGTCCTTGGTGTTCTTTGAGCTTGTTTCCTTGCAGACATTTCATTATCCAAACTAAGTAACATTATCAGTGCACTGACAGTAAAGTGATTTTGAGGTAAGCAAATGAAGCTGTAATATAATGACTGAAGGAGGGTAGAAAGAACCCATTCCTGATTAAATGTGCACGTTTGTAGTTGTGTAGAACAAAGTTCCCCAACCTTTCTGGCTTTGCAAATTGGTGGGGGGGGAGGGGGGAGAGGGGATGGTTCCGCAGGAGAGGTGGGCACGCGTACGTGTTCGTGCAGCCATTTGCGCAAGCAGCAGGCACACACGTTGCTCGCGCAAGTGGGGATGCGCATGCGCGGGTGCTCATCTGCCACTTCCGCAACCTGGTTCCCAACCGCTCAAGGCCCGGTAGTGGGCCGCAGCCTGGGGGTTGGGAACCCCTGGTGTAGAAAAGTCACTTTGGCCTCATTAGAGCACAGAATTAAACCTTGTCCACTACAATTAGTTCAAAAATTGGGCAATACTGTAAACTAGGGGTAGGCCACCTTGGCTCTTTTATGACTCGTGGACTTCAACTCCCAGAATTCCTGAGCCAGCATGGCTCAGCTTGGAAACTCTCCCTTTCCCCTCAGCATGGCTGGCTCAGGAATTCTGGGAGTTGAAGTCCACGAGTCATAAAAGAGCCAAGGTTGCCTACCCCTGCTGTAAACCCTCTCAGGTAAACCAGGCAGGAAACATGACTAGATGAGCTAATTCTACTTTATTGTAAAGCTCCATTAATAGAATCTTGCAAGTCTGAAGGTACAAGCTTGTCACTGCTGCTTTTAAACACTGTTCCGTTAGGACAGTGGTTCTCAACCTGTGGGTCAGGACCCCATTTGGGGTCGATCGACCATTTCATGGGGGTCGCCAAGCAAGGCTGTCCGCCATTTTTTTTGTCCGCCATGTTTTTCCCTCTTTTCCAGCGGGTGCCTTACCTCCCTTGGGCTGGGCCAGCTGGTGGTCGGCCTGCTCCGTCTCTGCCGCTTGCCAGCTACGCCTCGGCCAGCGCAGGGGGCGGAACCACGCATGCGCGGCGCTCCCGGGCAGGGAAAGTCCTCGACTTACGACCGGTTGGGTAGTCCTCGACTTACGACCTGTTTAGTCTTCGACTTACGACCTGTTTAGTCCTCGACTTACGACCGGTTTAGTTTTCGACTTACGACCGGTTGGGGTTGCGGCATTAAAAAGGTTGAGAACCACTGCGTTAGGATGAGCCCTTCCTAAGTTTCTTTCTCTGACTCTTAAGCCACTGGGGGCTCCTGCCTCTTTTATTTGATTGTTTCCCAAACAGCAGCTCTTGCCCTCTCTTCCCACACATTCCATTACAGATGCCTTCGCCTGCTGTTCAGACAAAAACCAGTCAAGTTACCTAGGAATTCTATTCCAGAAAATTGCTTCTAAGTTTGTAGCAGCTAGGGACTGTGAGAAAAGACACACTCTGAAGCATCCGTGGTCTTGAAACACCGCACAGCCCTAGTTATTACTTCATTTTGTAGACATTTGCCCTAACCTGGGAAGCAGGTAGCCAAAACAAGAGCAAATAAATTAGAAGTCACTCATTAAAGTCACTTTACCTTTCTTCTATTTAACAAGCTGTGCATTGCATACCTGAACACAAAGGATGCATTACGGTGTTACCACATGTTGGCAACTCTCCAGGTGACATGGATCTTCAAAGCCAAATGTCCTCCTACATTCAGGCCAGCTACCCACCCTCACGGGGGCCTGCAGTTCACTCTTATCCCATTAAGTGATTGAGGCTGAAGTCAGTTAGCTCACAAAGACATTAGTCATCTAATGACTTCATAGATCTTTGGTTTTGATTCAACAATACAAAACATTGTCTATCGATTGGTAGTTAAGGAACAGGGCAAAACAGTGATTTTCCTCACTAGTGGAATATTTTGTATGCCTAGTACAGTGATGGCGAACCTTTTAGAGACCGAGTGCTCAAACTGCAACCCAAAACCCACTTATGCATCATCGGGTGCCGGGTGGGTGTGGCCAATTGGGTGGGTGTGGCCCATTGGGTGGGCGTGGCTGCAGTGGTAACGGCAGACTGGGTGGGACTAAAAAGTTCAATCAATCAATCCCAACTTTGCAAGATCTTTTTTTCCCCGCGAGAAGTTGAAATTGACCGATTGAATCTTTTTTTTTTTTTTTTTTTGCACATGGCCGTGGAGGCCTAAAGCAAAAAGGTTTTTAAAACCCCGCTGAAGGCCTAGGACTGGGGCGACGGCGTCCGTGCATGCCCACAGAGAAGGCTCTGAGTGCCGCCTCTGGCACCCCCGTGCCATAGGTTCGCCACCACTGGCCTAGTAGTTGAAAATAAAGCATATTCTGGATGATTCAGTTCTATAATTAGACCTATAGAAGTAGAAACTGGATTTATAACTTGAGTTAGTGGAGACAAAAATATTACTTCAATGTAGATTTTGACTTTTTAAAATATTCTTTCTGATCCTGGAAGAAGAGGCATGCACATATTAAAACAAATAGCCTTTCATCTTTTTTTAAAAAAGTCCATCAGACTGCAGAAACGCATTGATTTTTAATATACTGGGTCCACTTCTGTATGGATTGCAGCCAACTTCCTGGGGATTATGGAAAGCTGACAGCAACACAAAATACAATTGAATGAAAGCTTTCTGCTAGCCTTTCTTCTCCCCAACATCAATACCTTTCCATTCATCCATTAGTTTTTAGCTTGTTTTCAGTTTGATTATCTAGTACAGGGGTAGTCAACCTTGGCTCTTTTATGACTCATGGACTTCAACTCCCAGAATTCTGGGAGTTGAAGTCCACGAGTCATAAAAGAGCCAAGGTTGACTACCCCTGATCTAGTATCTTGGGCAAAGGGAATATTAAATTGTGGGGAGCAGAACTGAATTTCTTGCCTGCAGCATCAGATCTCAGCTGTGGCTTAAAGTAAAACAACGTAAAACAACATTTGGGTGTTTTGTTTTTTTAAAAAGGGGCAAACCCACTGAATAAACGAAGCCAATTTTTCTACTTTAGAGATGAAAAGCAGCACAACAAAATCATAATGGTGAAGCGGTTCATGACCGCTTTGGTGATAAATGGATCAAATGCCAGAAATGCTTGGTTTTGACAGAACTCTCATACAAAAAAGAACATCAGACATACAGAATATAGAAGTAACAGAATTGGAAGGGACCTTTGCGGTCTTCTATCTAGTCCAACCCTCTGCTCAAGCGGGAGACCCTATCCCAAACTGGACAAACAGACATGGTACTTTGCTGAAGATATATACAGTCTCTTGTCATGGTGCGTGGATGTTGTGACATCTTGAAGACAGTGATGCTTTGCTGCTTCCTTAGCAATAATTCTACTACACAGAACAGGAACTGCAATGCAATTATATAATATTTCAGCATCTTTATATCAAGCTGTCGCCCTTCTCCAAAGACAAATATAGCACACATCGGGGTTACATAACCATTTATTTATTCTTTCTTTCTTCAAGAATCACTGGTCTGCACAAAGGCTCATTGCTCCTTTTATCATCATGTGATGCACTAGTCCAAGATCACTCAGGAAGCTGCATGGTGATGCGGGATGCTGAATTTAAATATTCCAGCCCTCCTGGGCGTAAGAACCAAATGTCCAAGTATCATAGCAGAATAAAGGCCACATCTGGCTTTCAAGCCAGGCCAAAGTCCCTAAAGTTTTCTATAGCATCCAATAACTTTTTTGTAAGAATGTGTTTATCGGTGTATCTCGGGAGAAACAAAGTTTGATGGCAAGTGTGAACCATGGGCAACAATTGGTCTTGATTTTCTTGATTTACGTCAGCAATAGTAATTGAGAAATTGTCCATCGTTTCTCCTGGAATGTGAACGGTTCCTGTGAGAAAAGCTGAAGAGACAGTGGAAATCAAACAATGCATTGTAGTAAGAACATAACTTAAGCACCTAGTCCTCATATTTTAGCTCTAAGATTTTTCCCAATAGCACTGGGAAGATAACATGTTCACTTTCTCTACTTTCTCTCCATCTGTACCTTTTTGAGGAATTGATTAATATACACATTTAATAATAAGTACTTCCTATGATTATATTCTCTATGATTGCATGTTAAGCTGCCTATCAGAGTTTCTAAATCAATCACCATTGTATCAGAATAGCTTGTTTGGCTTCTTCTTTTTCCTTAGTCAGAATAATGATACTAGTTTGTTTTTTTAAGAAATAGTTATTACCAAGAAAATCCTTCTTGCTTTCTTCAGGAAAGTCATAAAACACTGTCCAAAAGTTCTTGATTGTTTCATCTGACTCTTCAAAACCTCTATATTTGACGTTCTGCAGAAAGAATAAACATAAATCTCCCTGTTAATGGTTCAGCATCTCTTTATACAACCCAACCTTCACTGCCAGCATAACCCAGTTATATATTTCAGTTGACCTTGGATCTTTTTTCTAGATGGCATCTAAGACCACTCTGCCCTTGAAATGCTAAGGACTCCTTTTCGTTTTCCCCAGGTTTACCAAAAACATAGTTTCAAACACATCTGTTGCCCCTCTCCCTCTATGTCTATAAAACTAGAAACTCAAGGCTAACAGCAAGCATTTCTGAACCTGGGAACTGACAGACATTGGACTGGGATGCAACTTACAAACTCCCAATTTTGGCCTTAGAGACATCTGCTGATTAATATTAATGGGTCAAATTATACCCTCTGCCTTTATTTTCAGTGTTGTTATACATAAGAAATCCAGCACAACTATTTATTTTGCACTGCTTTCAGTACGGCATCTATAGTCCCAAGCAGTTTCTCTATTTCATTTAAGACAGGGGTCCCCAACCCCTTCTGATTGGGCTGGGAATCGGGCCACGCAAGCAGAGGGCGAGAGCACAAGCACGCAACGCTACATTTGCGCAAGAGGCGCACATGCGAAACCATCCCCCTCCCACCAGCCACTGCCAGTCCACAGAGCCAGGAACTTGGGAACTGCTGATTTAAGAAGTATACCAGAGGACCAGTTAAACTGTTGCACCACACTGAGGAATAAAAATGTGGATCCTAAGGATGTTGCAACCTAAGGGACTGCTACCATTTGAACCAGGCTTGACACTTACATCCTTAACCTGTGTAATCCCTGTACTCGGAAGAAATCCCTACTGCGTTCAGATGGGATTTGGTGCCAAGCAAACGTGTGTTTGATTGCTTTGTTGATATATTTATTTTGATAGTGCCCATCTCTGAATACTTAGTTATCTGCATTTGTTGGGGGTCACATTTTCTATCCCAATACATATATATATATATATATATATATATATATATATATATATATATATATATATATATATATATATATATATATATATATATATATATATATATATTTATTTATTTATTTATTTATTATATTTTTACCCCGCCCTTCTCCTTGCGGACTCAGGGCGGCTAACAGCCTAATAAAAACAAATACAAAAGTACAAAAATACAACCATTAAAACGTAATTAAAAGGAAATATTAATTTGGCCTTTGTTGTTTTAAAATTGTTTTAAAACCCAACTAAAAATACCCCTTAGGCCAGTCCTGCCAGCCTAAAT